CTACTTTGCAACCAGGCTCAGTTTGGCTATCTTATGTTATCTGAAACTAAGAGAAATGTTAGTGGGTATGGAAAGGAATGAAGATTTACTGATTTTATTTTAAATTATATTATACTGTAATATTAATAGTCTTTCTAGTTACATTAAGGATGTATTACAGCAGATTGCTCTGGGTAATATTTAATCATTGTCATAATGTTGCATTTGTATTTTTCAAAGATGTCAGGAAAAAAGCAGAAAGATATTTTGTCATTTTGGGCACCAAAGGGTAAGCCCCCTAAAAAGGTTGCCAGATTAGAGGAGGAGACAGTGGAAGAGGTGGTGCACTCTAATCTGTCCATTTGTTCTCAATGTCCCTCCACACAATAAATCATTCGTCTAGATAGAAGACGCATTCAAAAATCAAAATGCAATTTTTAAAGATTTGTTTGAAACTGTTTGGAGCAATTTGTTATATTTTTGGTTAGCTATATTTGTAATACTGCATTAAAGAGTATTTGATGTGATGAATTGCTCTGTCATTTATCAGATTTACTAATTGTTATAATTTTTAATTTGTTCTGGTTAATTATGAACAATGGGTAAAATTGGGGGCGGGGATGGGTGGGCGGGGCTTAATTATGGCTCCTCCCCTAACCGCGTGTGATCTCACTCCAAGCTTTTGCTCAAACTTGAGAACCCTGTTTTTACAGTTACAAAACAAGTGACTCTTAATGGGCGAATAATTGAATTACTCGCTTAACTGTTTCATCCAGGAATGAAACAAGTGACTGGCTACATTCGAAATTGCATACTTCCCTTACTATATACAGTAGTAAGCGAAAAAAAGTGTATGGAAAAAGGTATGTACAAATTCACAGAGTAAAATAGTAGGCAACAAAACCCTGGATGACCTTCTTCTGGTGAGAATCTGAAGTGTGCAGTCGATGGACACTTTACTATCCAATGAGGCCTCAGAAGAGGATTTATGAATGGCGTTAAAGAGCCCCTATCATGGATTTTTAAAAAATGACTGTTCATGTGTTGTGGAATATAGCTCTAAGGGAATGAAAAAAATCCTGCAAAGATTGTTATCTGAAAGTGCACCGTATATAAAGTTATTGTCTTTCAAACGTGAGAGTCGACTTTGAGTCTATGAAATGAATATTTTTTGAAACGAGTCATTAGCTGTTTCGTAGTGACGTAGATACGAAACTTAAGCATATTGGCCACGCCCAGTTACTGCGCGCGCAGACGGAACTGTAAACTTGAAGTCTAGAACACAAATACGTCAGCTGAATGGCATCATGTCGAGAAGACGCTGTGTTCTACAATGCAAAGATAGTTCAGCCACTTTGTTTTCATTTACCAGGGACGAGCATGTGTAGAATCGGTGGTTAGAGTTCATATTTGCAACGATACCACAACAGTATAGCCCGATTCTGTTCTCATCATTTTAATGACGAATCATTCAAAAACATAAATGAATTCAAACGTGGATTCGCAAGCGGTTGTTCCTGAAGGAGGTCTCAGTACCCAGTGTATATGGATCAGTTTCCTCCTCCGAATCACAACCTGTAAGTATTATTAATAATTGTTGCTTTTATGGGTTTTGTAGCGACGGGGCGCGAGGAGGGAAGGCGCAATAAGTATGTGTGTGTGTGTGTGTGTAAGTTACGCTCACCACAGCTTCATGGTCTCCAATGTAATTTTTTTTAACTATGTGAAATGTTTGTCGCTGTTATTGGAGTTGTCATAAAGAATAGAGTGTCTTGTAGTACTGCAGTGCTTTATCAATATGTTTATGCGTTGAGCTAACTAACAATAACTGACTCGGTCATCTGACCAATCACCGCCAATTAGCGTCACGCAAAGGAGTGGTTTGGAAAAATTAGTCATTGTACGAATCATTTGGGAGTCGGTGAGCAAATCAGGTAAAAATAAATGCATATTATAAGACAAAAAAAAGTGTTTTGTCATTGCATTCATGTAAAACTGTTGTTGGGGACTCCCAGAACAATATTAGGGACATTTTAAATGCCATAATAGGTGCTCTTTAAAGAGACACAACTGACGCTGGTAGGTTACATGATCCTTTGTTTATTTATTTGATAAGAAAATTATCATGTGACCTACCAGCGTCAGTTGCGTCTGTTCACCACCATTCATAAATCTTCTTTTGTAGATTACATTTAAACAACACACATTCCTACTATAGAACATACTTTCTTAGAGGTCGTGAAGTAAATTCTTATTCAAAATAAGTACCAACTGTACTCAAGAGTATGCGATTTCAGAAGCAGCTAATGTATTTTTGAGAAAGTCATTGAATCGTTCACTCAACCCATTTATAACACTGATTCATTCGGTAGTACCACTACTGTCTGGTGCTCTGAGACACACATTCTGCTGTGGCTTCTTTTCACACTATTTTGACTAGCGGAGCTAAAATACACAGCTGACAATGTCGTCTCTAAAAGGCACAGGTAAATTACTTATGACATGATCTTTTTTATAGAACTGTTGTAAAAATATTGTGCTGTCTGAATATCTGAACGTTCTGTAAATTGATTGAGCGTTATCATGGTCCTCTAACTTAGTGGTTCTCAACCCTGGTTTGATAGGAAGACATTCAAAATGTGCACTGTCGAGAACCACTGCTGTGGTTTCAATTTTCAAGGTTACTATTTTCGGTGATTACTGCAAGACTGCAATGGCAAAAGGTCATGCTATAAAATAATGAGGAAGGAATCTTCAAGATAACTGTAGCTTTTTCACAAATTAATGTCTTAATTTAAGTGTACATGAATAAGGTCATTCTGAGTCCACTGTGAGTGTTACGACCTGGATTTTAACTCAAAATCAACATTTGGACAGTCTCTAGGGCTCTCTTGAATTAAGGATTCATTAAGCCTAATAACCTTCCGGTGGTTGTCCACTGGTAAGCTAACAAAGAGGCATAATTGAGAAAGGCCTTTGGATTAGAATGTTATTTCATTCAAAGGGACAAAATTAGTTTTGCATGTGCTAATCTTCCTTTTGTGCTTAGGAATATTTTCTATAGAAGGGAGAGAAGTTAATGAGCACTCAAGCGTAGATGAGCAGAAGAATTTTCCAGAACGAAACAGGCCCGGCATATTTGGTCAGCAAACAAAATAATTTAAGACACACTAAGAATATGGTAATCTGCCCTGCATTTGATCTGCTGTGGGGGCGAATACAGTCACGGGAATGAAAGAAACTATTTCATTTGATTCAATCAAATTGCAAATTCAGGCTATAGTGCTCGGTAAAAGACACCAGTAGATGGCTATTTCGTTCTACAGAGCCAAAACGGGAAGATATTCAGCAAGATAGAAAATTACTTTTGAAAAGCATTCAGACAGCATAGTGTCCTAAAATACATGAACATCCTTGTCCCCATACAGGCTGGGGAAATTTATAGGATTAGATCTATATTTTAATTTGTTAAAGTAATTTGGAAAGTTAACGACTCCACAGTGATGGCACGAGCCAAGCCTTGCTCTGTCACTAATGATTTCGCACTTCCTGAGGGCAGTGTCAAAATGGAGCAATCACAAACATTTTGCTAATAATTTTCATTAATCACAGAAATGACCTTGTTTATGATTTCGCTCTGGCTAAGAATAACACAATATACGAAGCAGCTTTTACGAGCAGCCAGGTTGTAAATGTACAAGACACAAAAGCCTTTGTTTTGACTGACACTTTATAAGATGTAGGATAAATCATGCTGTTATGAATGAGCATCTTAAAAGACGAGTCTCACTGCTGACCCACTGTTCACGGCTCTATGCAAAATCAGGGGTGCCTTTGTTCCTTTGTGTCCATATGCTGGCAGAATTTGATGGGAGGAAAATCTTTTGAGGTTTCCCTGCCAGGAGAAACCGCTGCAACTGGCTGCACCGCTGGAGACAGAAACAACTGGTGCGACTGGCATCCGCTCTGGTTGCTGCTTAGAATACTAACGAGAGTCAGCACGCCTCAACCATGAGCCCTAAACAGTGTTAGGATTGTTCCACTGGAATACATCAGGATCTCTATGCCCAGCCCATGGACAAAAGCACCTAAATACATGCCACAGCTCTAACTCTTTAAATATTTTTTAACTGACTCTTTCTATGTTTTTTTTTTTTTCAGCATAATCTGTTTGAGAATAGAGTTCTCTACCCACCACCCTCCAAGTTGTACAGCTGTGTGTTACAATATAGAGGGGACTAGGACAACAACAACAAACTGGCTAATAATATAATTTGTGGTCAAATGAAGGAATTTCACATCATCTGGAATCATCTGGTATCTGTCAGCAGATTTTCTTCCATCTTCATCTACTTTCCACAAGCATTGCACAAAATGTAATGTGCCAAGTGTATGTCTGTACTGTCCCAACTGTGAGAGTGAAAAACACAAATAGTACATGCTTTTATGCCTTTCTATATTTGTTTCCAATTCTATTTGCTGTTTATTTGTTAACCATTTTAATCGATTTTTTAAAAAGGAAAAGGGTTGCGAGGTGGTTAATTTGAAGCAATAAATTCGATTCTTAAAAGCACAAAATTGTTTCAATTACTGTTACAACCTACCCCGTTGACTACAGCACTCTTTGTATTTGACATTAATTCACACAGTTTAAGGATACATTGTAGATTTCTTTAAATGTTTCAGACTAATTCTGGAACAGTATATCAAAGTTTGACATATAAAAAAAGAGTCGCGGAAACAAAACACTTGGCGCGCGTTTGGATTAGCCTATGTTTGTTTTGTCTCATTAACAACGAGTGGCAGTTGTATTTGATGTATGCATTCTTTCTGTTGGAAGGATGAATGATTAAAAAATCAGAAAACAACCGAAATTAGAAAAATGCCCATTCGAGACCGAAAACAAGTCCGACTTACACACGTCAGACACACGCCAAAACATCGGAACAGTTTGGCCACGTCTTCCTCAAAATCTAAAAAGCGCTTTGGATAAAAGTAAAGAAAATGAGTTTGCTGCTCACCTGTGTCTTAAGAGGTTCACCCTGTTCAATGATGCTGATGAAAGGTATTTCCAAAAACGAGGACATGAACTCCACTTGTATGAGCTCCTCGTGACTCTGAGGGAACGCAAGCACAGCCGAGACTCCCTGAACAACGATATCCTGACACACGCACCTGAACATTGACTCCGGGTCTCCATTTAGCGGTTCTCGGGACAGTACTTCCAAGCTCAGATTGTACGGCAAGAAGTTGTTCCCACTTTGTCGGAGGTGGACCAGGGCGCGGTTGAGTGCGCCCTGTATCCTGGACTGCTGGCGGGTCGGCAGGAGCGGACCCAAGCGCACTGTGTGCCCAATGCGTGCCAGGATGTGACAGGGCTGGGGATGCAGATGACAAGGGTAAATAAACATCTGGAGAGCGACCTGGAGCCCGACATGAAGGTATGCCAAAAATCTGGAGAGCACTAAATTCATCCTGCTCCTTTCGCAACTGGATTGAGGTTTCGTCACAAGATGGCATCGCTCTATTCTTGTCCAATGTTCTTGTCCTTAATGGTTTTACGAGTACGCGGATGCAGCCTCGGTTAAAATGCAAGTAGTGCAACCATTCCGTCTACTCCAAGTGTTGAAGGCGAGGAGGTGGTGTGCGCGCCGTTGAGGGAGGAGGAGGTGCTGTGCCACTGGAGATCTTCAGCATCACCGAGCTCGGAGGGAGATCAGTTGTGGCCACGCCAGGTTTGCTAGAAGATCAAATTATGACGAATTAAGCTTCCCCAAAGGTCACTTATGCAACATTATTAAAATGTCTTCAAATCTTAACTTTGTGGAAAAGTAAATGGGGACTCAGTTTGCTTATTAAAAAAAGTGATTCAGATAATGAAATGAACAGCTTTTTGTTTTTAAACATAATTAAAATTACATTTAAAGTGCACTTTTTCCAGAATTTTAGATTTTATTGTACATGGAGAGGGTCGCCACCTTTTGGCCGCCGCCATGTTGACATCACATGACCAGTTGTGTCATGCAATGGGCTTTTATATGCACGCATAAGTTCCGCATTTGACGCAAGGATGCAGTTTCCGGTTGTGGAGATTAAAGCGGAGTAAAAACGAGGAAAACTAGATTATGGCAGAGTCTTCAAAATCTTTCTGTCCCCCCGTCTTTGAAACAAAACTTTCATACGTTTAGATGTTATTTTATATATAGTTATGTTCATTTAATATAATTTTAAAAAGAAGCATAAACACAACGAGGGTCTGTTTTGTCTGTTTTTGTGACTAACGTTTCTTTAGTATAACCATGGAGTATAAAATTCAATATAAATTCTTGGTATTGCATTGGACTCTACGATCAGCGGAAGTTATCAAGCATCCTTACACCTTCACCGGAAATACCGCCATAGAGCCCATTAAGCAAGTTACAGCTATTAAAATGACAGGAGGAAAAATAATAAATTTAATAAATATTGTGCCTTCAGTCAGTGCTTTTTACAGTGAATTAAGCATGAACACAATGATCACAGTCACCACAGCAAAATGCTATGCATACCAGCACTAACTATCAACACTGTTCAAAATTGGTGAGATTAAATTCAAGAATGTCCATTATAGGCTATTGATAATAAGAGAACAGATTATATTTAGTAAAGAACCTACATGCATCCAAACTGAAAGACATCAGTTTAAAGTCCAAAACCACTGGTTATTGGGATGATTAAAAGCCTGCTACATGTGAAGCTAAAGCAAAAACTGAGAGAGTGCACCTTTAAATTGAGATTGGTGCAAAACTCTACACTCCAGAAGCTGGAAAGCAAAATATTTTTCACAGTTAATGATTTCAGTGAAGTCTTAAAAAGAGATGAAGAGGTGACTGAGGCAGTAATTGCATAGTGAATTCAGACAGTTTGGCATAGTTCAAGGACAATACCCCATTCATAAATTCTTTAATTAAATAATAATTGCATGGCAACACAGATGCTCTGTTCGGTATAATTAATTTACAGTGGCCTTTGTTTGCTATTGAACAGTAATCCAAATATATTAACTTGTCACTCTGAGCACAAAGCTGAAATGCAGTGTAATAGATTTTTCCTCTTTTTTTTCATATTTACAGAGCATTTTAATTTAGTACTATAGTAGGTACTGTAGACATTTTCCCATGATAGGTGGCTAATATGTCAATTAAAATATTCTTTTCTCCTTTATTAATCAAACAGAAAATGTATAAGCCATATGCTTCCTTAACAGTAATGGAGTCTAAAGAAAATTACGCACATATGCAGTAACCTGAGGAAGAAATGAACATGTGCCCTTTTCACCTCTGTAAATATACACAAGAAATATGAACAATGGAAGTTAGAAGAAAAGTTATTTTCAATAGCATTATCATTTTGTCTGTATGGTCCGATCCTATAATTTCAGTGCATTTTTCTTTCATGCATCTATAGTTTTCCGTCATTCATTTCCTGTCTGACAAGAAACATATTAGTACTGCAATGCTTGAAACTGTTTTTAAGTTATTACTTGTGCATTTTGGAAAGCTTTGCACCCTCAAATCCATTTGCTGGTAATAATAGCTTGGATGTTAAAGACTAATTGAGGATTAGAGGCCACTGGCTGAGTAAAAAGCATATGAATGTCAAAATTCGGCAGCATGTCCTTGTGTAGCAAAACTTCTGACATCACGTAAAATGATGGCTTACTCTATATGGCCAATATTACAGTATATGTAATCTCTTTCAGAAACAAACAACTAACATCTTTCAATCTCTTTCCTGTTTCAATGAACAATGTCACCAAAAACCATTTGCCTTTCTGCTTAATAGGCGTATACTATGATGTCCATCTGATGTCTGACACTAACATGTAACCAGTGATGCTTGCTTGATTGTTTTTTCAGGTCCAGTGCATACAGATCAACATTTCAGGATATTTCAGAGATGCAGGTGATTTTTAGGGTAAATCGAAATCTATTCACAAGACACCCACGCAACTGTCCTGTCCTGACACATGGATGGCTCCACTTGATTTTCAGCAGAGGTATGTGATTGTCTTTTACTCACCTTCAAGCAGACTCACTCGTCTTTCTTCGAGACGGCTCGTACACTCTTTTAAGGTTTTAGAGCCTTTAAAGGATCTATCAGGTGCTTCATATTGAGATGGAATTGTTTGGATACAAATGCAAGTAAACGGCATTTATTGGAGATGGTCAGATATACATAAAGCACACAGGCCGGGAACAAACACTCAGTGGCGAAGTGACACAGGGACGTTGATGGGCAAGCCAGAGAATCATTGTGAAGATCGAAGTGCTTAGGAACTAGGAAACAATAAACAATCCAGATGGTAAAGACAACGATAAAGATCCACAAAGACTGGTAATCCACACAAGGAGACGAGGCACATGACACCAGGGAAGCCACAACGATCTGACAACATGAAATGGAATTTACTGAACATATAAGGGAATGGTGATGAACCGCAGCTGGCACAGACAATCAATGAAATTGGTTACCACGCCCACACAGACACACATACACACACAAAACACCAGATTTAACCGGGTGGATTCATGAAACATGACACATCTATATGGGTTCCAATGGGATCCCATAATTTGTTTTAATTAAATCTTGTTTCTCCATTAAATTGAATGAATTAAACAGCTTGTGAACATACTTTATCTCTAAAAATGAAATAATCCAATAAACATAAAGGTATTATGCAATCATTTAAGACAGTTCTCCCTTATGGAACCTTTTGGGAAAAAGGTTCTTTAAAGAACCCCTTTTAAAGAGTGTATTTCTGGACCCTTCCAATAGTCAATTGTCTTAAACTATAGGTTTAATTTATAAATTAATGGATTACACTTTAATCAGGAAACCAATTAAAACACATGTTTATCTCAGAGGGATTATACCCACCTTATGTGCGCCAATATAGATAATCCTCCTCAGTCTCTCCTTATGACTTCACTCTGTTATTGTGACATACGCATACATTAGGCAGACCTACATTTTTACTGTTTGAGATGCAACAGTTGAGTCAATGAGTTCTGAAATTGAATTTTGAGAGGTAGCCTACCTCAGAAAAAGCCTCTGAGCAGAAGCTCTGCAATTACCGCATGGATAAATGTAGCATCAGTGCTGTTTCTTGTCGAACTGTATGTCGCAGCACTCCATAATTTGCCATAATGTTTTACAGAACAACTCATACAGGAGAGCTTTTAAATATCACTATGCAGCATCTACATTCTCAGCACATCCTATTTGACTAATTTCAGTTCCATATTTTGTGTCCACTAGACAGTTCAGCAGCATTCCGAATGCGATGAACAAAAGGGACACTCTGCACGAGAGGGAAGGAGCTAAAATGGATAATTCTATTAAAATCTGAAGTGCTATATACTCATATGTTACAAGAAATCTGCTGGAGGCAAAGCAGTTGACTTCCCTTACTGTTCTAAAATGATTTCGGAAAGCTTGGCACAGCTTTCAAATCAAACGAATGTCTGTGTGAAAACGGAAACATTGTAAACCTTATCCCTCTCCACTGACTTGTGTTGGAGATGAAGAGTAATTTAGACTTCAAATTAGGGTCGGGATGCATAAATAGTCGGTTCACAGCAGGATGGTATCTATATGAAAACTCATTTAATTTGGTCATAGACTCCATAACCCCTCTCTGTTTTTATCAGACTGAGCAAACATGGTTCTGATAAAAACTAATGAGTTTCATGCACTTAATTAACTTAACAACACATTATTGAGGTGGTAAAGGACTGTGATTACACATTTGCTAGTCTCTAAGAAGTTGAAAGAGTCTGTGAAAGTGCAAATATTAAATATAATATGAGCAGAAAGCATTGCAGATCTAACTTTGGTTTAATAGGGAAAATGTATCGTTTCTGGCTGTACTTTTTTCTCAAACACAAGTGGTGTCATTGCATTAAAGTTTAATGAGGGATAAGGTTCTGTATTGGAAGTTATATTTCCCTACATGCACTATGTAAATCCGTACAGCTCACCCTGCCGCTGGGTAGGTTAGTATTGCTGAGCTGGATTTATTTTTACCATGGTTCAGACATACTTATATTCACAGAGACAAGCACTCACTGCTTGTGGATAGGCTATATGTGCATGTCATAGTTTATAGCCACCATCAATTGAAATAACCTACTCGATTCCCCTCTTTTTCCCTGCAAGAGTGTAGGGAGCTGGAGGAAAGGCTTTATTTTTTTCAACCCGACAATGTTAGAAAGCCTGGTTTACCCCATCATAGGTGAATTATCACAGGGAGGATACTATTTAGTCATGTATGCGCTGTGTAGTGGCAAAGGGCTGTCTTCATTTTCTGATTGTGTTCACTATCTGGGTTTGGCAGATCATTGCTGTTTGTTTTCTAAGGTTACAATTATATATATTAAAAATTAATTACGAGGAAGTAACCCAGCTAATGGAGTCGTTAACTCGGTTCCTTCTTTAACAGAAGCCTTCATTGTAAAGAATCACCATAAGTGACTGATTTGAAAAGCCCTGCTTCGAATGCCATGCAACTATCCCACTTCACAAGAAACAAAACTCAAAACTGATTTCATTTTTTTCCAAGAGTTTGACAGTAACATTAAAGGAAAATTCCCTTAACTACGTCTACTCTGTTCTTGTTGCTTATTGGTTGTTCAGTTAATCACTCGTTTCGCTTGATGAATCTCTCATTTAAAAAAAAAAAAAAAATAACAAAGTTTTATAAGTTCAAATGCTCGCCTTCTCTGTACTGCGATGCACGTTCGTGACTCTCCTGTTCGAACTCGTTCGTCAAAATTAACAAATCTTTTTCCAAGTCAATTCGTTTGTTTTGTTCGTTACAGAGCAAGGCGACCATTTGAGCTTATGAAACTTAAACTTTGTTATTTATTTTTTTAAATGAGCGATCGTTTCGCTAGATAAAACCCTTATTCATCGTCTGGAATCATTTAAAGCCCTGTTTGAACAGTTTGCAGTTTGTACTGAAAGTGTCTTTTGGACCTTGAACCGTTTGGTTCCCACTGAAGTGCATTATGAAGAAAAATGCTGGATTGTTTTCATCAAAAACCTTAATTTCTTTTTGACTGAAGAAAGAATGACATGGACATATTGGATGACATGGGGGTGAGTAAATTATCAGGAAAAGTTTTTTCAAAAGTGAACTACTCCTTTCAGAACATTCGAGTCACATAGACTACTTTATGATGCTTTTACCCATTCTTCATTACAGTTTTATGGTTTGCAGCCTTTGTAATTGCATGGAAAAGAACAACCAATACATTATTCAAAATGTATAAAATATTGCATTAAGCAGGAAACTCATATGGGTTTTGGGGCTACATTAGAGTGAATAAATGACCGAATTTTCTTTTTCGTGGTGAACTATCCCTTTAAAATCCTGATCCTCATTGACGCATATCTGAGAGCCTGCCCTTTAGATTCAGAGGTAATTGAGGTCGGTGGTAGTGCGCGTGAAAACAGAAGCTCCACGGCACATGAATCTTGGAATTTCACTGAACATTCTCAGTCTTATCATCCTCGTTCCCTCTAATAGGGCATTCCTCAGTGATCTCATCAAATCGAGAAGCAGAGCATATGTGGCTTTTGAGATGATTAGCCCGTCAAGCATTTCATTAACCCGACCTAAGTGATTAAAAGGGGCAGATGCATTGATCCCCTTTGTGGTTCATGTATTATTACTGGGAAACCATCTTCATGCATGAACTCCCTCTCCTTCATGTGAGGATTTGCAGTCAATGACCTTTGCAGATCTGGAGGTGTTGAGAACGGCCAGAGCGTTCACGCAGAACACCGGCACGAGACGAGATACACGGTCTAGTCGTGCCTGCTGCTCTGTTTCCCCCGACCTTTCATACCCCCGTCTCTCACGTCCTTGGTTCTTGTGAGATCACAGAGAGTTGAGGTGCTTCATTCTAATAAATCGCACGGAGAAAAAAAGGAATCTGCTCTGTGGCACATTATGCAGCATTATACAAGCATAAACCAAAAGCAGAACAATAATATGGTTTGACAACTTGACATAAGCCTTTTTCATATGGTACTGAGAAGGTAATGAGTGGTATAAGAGGACTGAAAAGAGCACATAATAGTAGATGCTGTCTGCTTTAATGCTTTTCAGGTGTGTTCAACATCTAGCTTTCACAGAGAGGCTGGAGTCTAGCTGGCAATATAAAGATAGCCGGAGAGCTATAGATTTTATGACAAGCATCAGTCTCCCGGTCTTGAATAATAGTGGAACCGGAAAGCTTCAATTCTTTCGAAATATTTTCAGATGTGTACCTTATGTATGCTCTTTCAATGATGCTAAGAACATGCGGAATCCCAGAGGAGAGTGCCGATTTCTTTCCACGACTGCTTCATACGCATAGGCTGTGAAAAAAAGTATAATCCTACCAATGCTCTATCAATATATGTATAAATACATTTAAATTGTATTTCTCCCATTTGAAATGATGTGCCTGTGTTTAGTTATTACCTAAGTTTTTTGTTAAATACCAACAACAAAAAAGTGACTACAAATTGGCACATGACCATAAAATGTAACTATGTGAATTGAATTGACTACTCCACAAAATATGAATCAAGCATTGCTATCTCATGCTTTTAGGTCAGCAAAATGAATAAAGTTGGACTGCTACAGCCGATTACATTTCTTATTAATGATGATCAAGCGCCAGATACATCACTAGGCTGGTATATCTGCCTCCGTAATGTTCCATCTTGATTTTCTTCTCCCACTAATGCTTTCTGAAATCAAATTAGGAACAACCTGATTAATATCGCCCATTATTTCTGTTTCAGAAATTCATACACTTGAAAAAACCTGGAGTTGTTCCAAGAACCCATGCTGCTTCGTTAATGAAAGTAAAAAAAAAATATGTAAAAATAATTTTGGTAAAGTATTTCAGAAGCCTGAAGAATTAAATGAGTAAAATGTGGTCACAGGGCCAAATTGAATGAATGAATAAACCTGTACCTCGGCCAAAATGTTACAAATGAACAGATTCACCAATTTACAAAAGTAATTTCAATAATGGATTCTGTTCCAAAAAAAGAATCAATCATGTCATTTTGCAACATCCACTTTTTATGATGGGACGGGACT